GGTCTCGAACCCGCGGGCTCAGGCAATCCATTCACCTCAGCCTCCCGAAGGTGCGGGATTGCAGGCTGAGCCACCGAGCCCGGCTTATTTTTATTTTTTTGAGTTGGAGTCTCACTCTGTCCCCCAGGCTGGAGTGCAGTGGCATGCTCGCGGCCACCCCAGCGTCAACCTGCTGGGCTCCAGCGATCCTTCTGCCTTAACCTTCCAAGCAGCCGACACTACAGGCACATGCTACCACACCTGGCTAATTTTTGATTTATTGTAGAGACGAGGTCTCGTTAAGTTGCCTGGGCTGGTCTCGAACCCACGGGCTCAGGCAATCCACTCTCCTCGGTCCCAAAGTGCTGGGATTATAGACTGGGCTACCGATCCCGGGCTGATTTTATTTTTATAACAAGAAGAGAGGGCGGTTTCCTCTTTCTGTCTTTATAAGGCTGCAGATAAGGTGTTGGGGTGAACAGCTCAGTCTTCATTAGTCACCCCCCCAACTGTAGTTCTGAGCCCCTTCTGGGCTGGGCCCCACGGGGTCTTGTACTGACTGCTGTTGTCTACTCTGTACCAGTTTTGCTTCCTTGGTAATATTGGCCAATGTTTTTGAGCACTTATTACAAAGTAGACACTGGTCTAAATACATTTATTCTACCACTTATCAAATACCTACTCAGCACCCATGTATCGAACAGTGGCAACCATGAACAAAATTCTGCCTTCATAGAGCTTGTGTTAGAAACAAACAAACGAGTAAGCACAGACTAGGGCAGATGGTAGTGAGGGCTGTGGGAAAGAAAGATCAGAGCAGGGGGTAAAGGGGGTGTGGGGGAGGTTGTTATTAAGTGTAGGATGGTCAGGAAGGACTCGCATGTAACAGTTGAGCAGAGACCTGGAGAAACTAGGGAAGTTGCCACTGGGGTTGGGGAGAGCCTTCCAGGCCAAGGGAACAGCAAGGGCAAGCGCTCTGAGGCCAGGCCATGACTTGGCTGTTCCAGAAAGATCAAGGAGGCCCGTGGGCTGGAATGGAGTAGAATGAGTTGGGGAAAAGGAAGAGGAGGTGAGAGCATACAGTGCAATGCTGGCTAATAGAAGTATAATACGCATTGCTGACATATGTAATTCTAAATTTTCTAGTGGTTACATTAAAAAAGTAAAAACAGGCTGGGTGCAGTGGCTCACGCCTGTAATCCCAACACTTTGGGAAGCTAAGGTGAGAGGATAGTTAGGGCCTAGGAGATTGAGACCAACCTAGGCAACATCGTGAGATCTCGTCTTTACCAAAAAAAAAAAAAAAAAAAAAAAAAAAAAAATTAGCTGGGCTTGGTCACCAGGAGGTTGAGGCTGCAGTGCGCCACTGTACTCTAGCCTGGGTGACAGAGTGAGACCCTGACTAAAAATAAATTTTTTTAAAAGTAAAAAGAAGTAGGTGAGTTTAGTATTAATTTTTTTTTTTTAGTTGGAGTCTCACTCTGTCACCCAGACTGGAGTGCAGTAGCATGCTCATGGCCCCCCCCAGCATCAACCTACTGGGCACAGGCAGTCCTTCTGCTTCAGCCTTCCAAGTAACCGGAACTACAGGCACACACTACCATGCCTGGCTAATTTTTTTATTTATTGTAGAGATGCGGTCTTGCCAAGTTGATCAGGCTGGTCTTGAACCCATGGGCTCAGGCTGTCACCTCACCTTGGCCTCCCAAAGTGCTGGTGTTATAGGCTTGAGCCCCTGCGCCTGGCTTAGCATTAATTTTAATACTATGTTTGTTTAACCTCATAAATCCAAAATATTATCCCTTTGACGCGTATCAAAGTAAAACATTATTCATGAGATACTTGACATTATTTTTTTCTCATTAAGTTTCCAAAATCTGGTGCATATTTCAGGATCTTGTGTGCACATTTGAGATGTGCTAGCCACATTTCCGTTTTGGTGACCATGATCAGCTAGTGGCTACCATAATGGACTGTACCAACATGGAGCCTTGTAGGCCATGCTAAGCCCCCTTCATAGATGGGGAAGCCAGTGGATGCTTTGGGGCCTAGGAGCGATAGCTCTGTGTTCTAAAAGGTTCACTCCAGCTGATGTGATGAGAGATACAGCAGGGGGTGAGGTCATGGAGCAGAGGGTCGAAAGGAAGCTCTTACCAGGCACATAGTGTTGGTAACTTGGGCCCCGATTGTAGCAGCGGTGGTGGTGACAAGTGGCTGGATTCTGGGTGTGTTTTGAAGGTAGAACTGCCAAGCTTTCCCGATGTGGTGTGTGAACAAGACAGGAGTCAAGGAGCCGCCAAGAGTTTTGACTTAAGTTACTGGAAGGCTGCAGGTGTTTTCAGCAGGATGAGGAAGACTGTCAAAGATGGAGGGGGAACCCCAGATTTGGGAGGAAAATCTGGGATTGGTTTTGGACTTGTGAAATGTGTGATGTGGGCACTGGGCATGTAGCAAAGGTTGAGTATATGGGTGAGTCTGGGGTTCAGCGAGGAGATCTGATTTGGGGGGCATCAATTTGGGAGTTGGAAGCTTGCCCACGGTGTTTCAGGCCATGAGGTGAGCTGAGGGCCCCGGGGAGCAGGTGCACAGAGAAGCAGTGGCTGAAACCTGGGCAGCAAAGATGGGACCAGCAAAGCAGGCTGCTCAGGAGAGTGTGGGAAGGTGGCAGGGAGCCAGCAGAGAGCGGAGGGGGTTCTGGCAGGAGGGGGGATCTCCTGTGTCCTATGCTGCTGATGGACTGAGGAAGATGAGGTCTGAGAATTCCTGAGCATTGATGAGAGAGGCGGCGGGCAGGGGGGGCGGGGCGGCAAAAGCCAGGCTGAAGTGAATTCTAGAGAAAACGGGAGAGGAAGAGACAGCTGGTTTGAGGAGTTTTGCTTTAAAGGGGAGCAGAAAAATGGAGTGGTGTCTTGGGGTGTGTGCATATTCATGAGGAGGACTTTTCTATTAAGATGGATGATACAATAGCTGATGGGAATGATCTAGTAGACAGGACAAAACCATGATGTGGGGGAGAGAGAAAAAAAAATGAGCAGTGTCATTTTGCTCACCATGACCTTATGCGGTAGGTAACATTTTACAGACAAGGATACTGAGGCAAAGAAAGGTTCAGTCACTTGCCCCAGGTCACAGCTAATAAGTCATAGGATCATAAGTTGAATGCCGATGACTGAGTTCAAGAACGTCCAGCCTTGACCACTGTGCTGTTCTGCCTCTTGGTTTCCTGACTGGAGTTGTGAGCTCTTTCAGAGAGGCCGCCTCTTGTACTTTATATCCAACACAGCACCTGGCACAGGTGATTGGAACACCAGGAACTGTGTGCTGGAAATGCTCTATCTCCTGGCCCACATGGGAGGGAGTGTGGCCCCAGCTTGTCTTGTTCTGTGTCCTTTCTCCTTGCATACAAAGAGTGGCGCTCAAGGAATACACTAGAAGGCATTTGTAGGATGGATGAAGAATGGGTGAAAAGACTGTGGGTCATCTTAAATCCTAAGCCAGTGGTTCTTCCTGGCACACCTCAGTACTGGGTGTGGTCAGGGTTTCTACACTGGGTGACCCTGGGCAGGCTACTTATCCACTCATGCTTCAACTTCCTTATTCATAAAATAAGAGGTTGGATTAGATGATCTCTCATATGGCTCTCACCATGTTTGTGCTACTTGTACCATGGCTGCTGAAGATCCTGTCGTGAGAACTGTCCCACCTTAAATGCCCATGTGTTGTTGATGGGTGTTCCAGTATCTCGGGGCCAGTCTTGGCTCAGTTGCCCTCTAGTTGTTTGATCTTGAGCCTGTCACTGTATTTCTTGCATTTGTCAATAAGGGCCATACATACCTAGTTGCTTGCCTTTTAGGTGTGTGATGAGTTTTTTTTTTTTTTTTTTGAGTTGGTGTCTCACTTCCTCACCCAGGCTGGAGTGCAGTGGCATGGTTACAGACACCCCAGCATCAACCTGCTGGGCTCCAGTGATCCTTCTGCCTCAGCCTTCCAAGTAGCTGGAACTACAGATGCACGCCACCATGCTCAGCTAGTTTTTATGATTTATTGTAGAGATGAGGTCTTGCCAAGTTGCCCGGGCTGGTCTTGAACCCATGGGCTCAGGCAGTCCACTTGTCTTGGGCTCCCAAAGTGCTGGGATTACAGGCTGAGCCACCGAGCCCGGTCTGTGATGAGTTTTAAACAAAACTTTGAGTGAACAATCATCATTGCCATAGTTCACTGTGTGTATGTATGGGTCACCTAGTACCAGGCTGTCCTAGGCACTTTTTTGGACCTGTATATTAACTCACTCAATCCTTACCTTAGGAGTAGGTCCTGTGAAGTGATCCCCAGTTCACAGATGAGGAAAGTGAGGCATAGAGCAGGCAATGGAAAGCATTTTTTTGGTGTTGTTTTTGGACACAGGGTCTCACTCTGTTGACCAGGCTAGAGATAATGGTGCAATCACAGCTCACTGCAGACTCAAACTTCCGGCTCAGGCAATCCTCCCATCTCAGCCTCCCAAGTAGCTGAGACTACAGGCATGTACTACCACACCTGGTTAAAATTGTTTTTGTAGAGACAGCGTCTTGCTATAGTTACCTATGTTGGTCTCAAATTCCTGGTCTCAAGTGATCCTCTTGCCTCAGTCCGCCCAAAGTGTTTGGATTACAGACGTGAGCCTGTGCACTCGACCTGGAAAGCATATTGAATGCTGAAAGATGTCTCCCAGCGAATGGACAGCCATGTCTTCCCCAGGCCTGTGCGGCCTCTGACCTGCTCTCTCCTTCTTCCTCCAGGGACAGGGGCAGACCCGGTGGTCAGCACCAGGAGCAACCACTGCCTGGATGCCGCCAAGGCCTGCAACCTGAATGACAACTGCAAGAAGCTGCGTTCCTCCTACATCTCCATCTGCAACCGCGAGATCTCGCCCACTGAGCGCTGCAACCGCCGCAAGTGCCACAAGGCCCTGCGCCAGTTCTTCGACCGGGTGCCCAGCGAGTACACCTACCGCATGCTCTTCTGCTCCTGCCAAGACCAGGCGTGCGCCGAGCGCCGCCGGCAAACCATCCTGCCCAGCTGCTCCTACGAGGACAAGGAAAAGCCCAACTGCCTGGACCTCCGCAGCGTGTGCCGGACTGACCACCTGTGCCGGTAAGAGTGCCGCTCCAGCTCTAGGGTGTCAGGAGGCGGGGGCTCGCGTTGCCAGGTTGACCTGTTCTGCATTTCCTGCGGTGCGTTGGTTTACAGCCCTGAGCTCAGCAGGGAGGGTGCCAAAAAGGTTAAAACTAACTTGGACATGTGCAAAATGAGTTTTCATCCATTCACTTCATTCATTCGTTCATCTACTCATTGATTAATTCATTAGCTCATTTTTGTTTTCATTTATTTGGCATAGATTTGTCGCTTGCTTACTCTGCCCAGCCTCATGCTATGGAGAAAACAAAATGAACAACCTAGGAAGCTTACCATTTAAGATCACAGATTCCTAGAGCCTTTGAATAAGAAGGCTCATGCCTGTAATCCTAGCAACTCAGGAGGCTAAAGCACAGATTGCTTGAGGCTAGGTGTTTGAGACCAGCCTGGGCAATACAGTGAAATCCTATCCCTAAAAATAAAAAAAGAATAATAAAAAAGAAGGGACCTTCAGATAATTTAGTTTCATTCCTAAAGGAAGTTTCCTCCTAATATCCCAACAGAGGCCATGTGGCTATCAGGGAAAGTGCTATCATAAATCTAAGGCCCGCTCATTCTCTACTGAGATCTGAACTAGTCTAGTGTTGGGTGAGGACTGGGTTCTGGAGTCTGACAGTCCTGGGTTTGAATTCTGACTTTACCACTTGTTAGCTGTGTCACCTTGAACAAGTTTTAAAAATTTTCCTGAGTCTTTATCCCTTCACCTGTAAAATAGAAATAAAAATACCCACATCACAAGGTTATTGTGAGCATAAGATTGTATAATGTGTGTCCAAAGTTTAGCACAGAGTGTGGAATATAGTAAATGCTTAATAAGTGTAGCCTTGTTATTAGGAAGGAGGTTTTTTGTTTTCGGTTATAGTGAGTTGAAATTTGGCCCTTTATTATTCTCATGTCCTTATGGAGCCCCTGTTGTGTTCAGTGCTTATTTCTTTTCTTTTCTTTTTTTTTGAGTTGAAGTCTCACTCTGTCACCCAGACAGGAGTGCAGTTGGCCGCTCCCGGCCACCGCAGCCTCGATCTACTGGACTCCGGCGATCCTTCTGCCTCAGCCTTCCAAGTAGCTGGAACTACAGGGGCACGCTACCATGCCCTGCTAATTTTTTGATTTATTGTAGAGATGAGGTCTCACCAAGTTGCCCAGGCAGGTCTCGAACCCGCGGGCTCAGGCAATCCACTCACCTCCGCCTCCCAAAGCTCAGGATTACAGGCTGAGCCGCTGAGCCCGGCTAGTGCTTATTTCTAAGACCTGGACATCCAAAGGTGAACACAGTGCTCTCCAAGGAGCATCCAGCCCAGCAGAAAAAACAGACAAGGAGAGCAGTGATTCCTGTTCAGTGGGATGAGGCTGTGGGTTCCCAGAGGAGGGTCACAGGAGAGGGGCATTATGCAAAGGGAAGGGTGCTTTGAGCTGAGCCTTGGGACATGAGAGGGAGAAAGCCAGGGAATGAGGCTGCCAGAAAAGCATGGCAAAGGTTGGAGGGTGGGAAGGGGCTGGCCAGTGGGGAACTGCAGGTGGTTCCCTATCTGCTCACAGAGTGAGTCATGATGGGGAGGCCAGAGGCGCAGTGGCTGGAGAAACAGGGACTGCAGTAAGCGCAGGTGTTTATAGATTGCCTGTTATGTTCTGGACACTGTTATAGAGGCTTTATGTTTCATTTAATCCTTGAAACAAAGCTATGAGATAGATGCTATTTTCATCTGTATCTGCCAGTTGAGGAAACATCTGGTGAGTTACAGAGAAAGTCACTTCCCCAAGGTCATGCAATTCATACATTTCCGAGCTGGGGTTTAAGCTATATTGCTTTCTTTCCAGTATGGCATACTGCCCCAACTTTGGGGATGGAAAACAGTGTGTTGTTCCAGAGAAGATTGGAAAGTAGACTTTATAGGACTGGATGACTGGTTTAAGGTCCCCCGGAGGCAAGAACCCTTTTAGTTTTGTTTACACCCTGTCCTGTGCATAGAGCCTGGCACATGGTGAGCCCTCCATAAACATCACTTGCATGGATAAATGGATGGTGACCACCATGTTTCTTAGCTGAGTAACTCTGGGGCAGTGGAGCCATTCAGTGGGGGTGGTGTTGGACATGTAGTATTTGAGGTTCCTGGGGGACCACTGTCACCCCCATGGCAACCTCTAAGGGATACATGGACTTGTGGGTCTGGATCTCAGTAATGAGACTGGAGGGGAGAGATGACCTTGGGAGTCTTTGGGCCCCTGTTGTTGGTGATTAAAGCCATAGCAGTGAATGAGTTGGTGTGGAAAGGGTTGGTAGAGCCCAGGAGGAAGTCTAGGCTGGAGATACCCACAGATTTGAGCATCCTGTTACCCAGGCTGGAGTACAGTGGTGTGATCATAGCTCGCTGTAATTTTGAATCCCTGAGCTTAAGAGATCCCCCCACCTTAGCCTTTTGAGTAGCTGGGACTATGGGTGCATACCACTCTGTTTGGCTAATTAAAAAAAAATTTTTTTTGCATTTTTATTTTTTTAGGTGGTAAGTAGAGCCATTGGAGTGGACACTAAGGTCAGAGTTCTACTGGAAACACCAGTATTTAAGGGAGGGGCAAAGGAAGTGGAGTGTGAGACAGGGAGGCTGAGGAGAATCAGAGGACAAGCAGGAGAGAGTGGGCCCAGATACTGGAAGAGAAGGGGGGATCAGGGAGATGAGTGAGCTGTGGTGCCTCACAGAGTGCGTGTGTGTGTGTACATGTGTGTGTGCATGTGCACGTGTGTGTGTGTGTATGTGTGTAGTGGAAACCAGGTTGTGGTGGCCCAGGTCTGACAGGGAAGCAGGAGCAGAGGCTTGGGTACAAATCACCTTCTTCAGAAGCAATGTGGGCCAGGACCAGGGGCTGCAGAAGGATGTGGGTTGGAGAGGGCTTCTTTTTAACATGGGAGAGCAGGAGCCATGTGTACACTGAAGGGGAAACGCTACTCTGTTTGGTTTGGAAAACAAGTTCTCCTGGAGTTCAGAGAAGGGGCTGATCCCAGAGCCAGCTGCAGGCTCAGGGAAATCTCTGCGAGGAAAGTGGGCTTCTCTCTTTTGCTTACTTAAAAAAATACACCAAGGCTGAGTCTGGTGGCTCATGCCTGTAATCCTAGGGCTTTGCGGGGGACCAAGATGGGAGTGCTTGAGGCCAAGAATTTGAGACTAGCCTGGGAAACATAGTGAGACCCTATCTCTACAAAAAAATGAAACAAAATTAGCCAGGTATAGTGGTGCATACCTGTGGTACCAGCTACTTGGGAGGAGTTCAGGCTTACAGTGAGCTATGGTTGTACCTCTGCACTCCAACCTGGACAACAGAGCAAGATAATAATATGGTGCACCTCACTGCCTACACAAACTGATTGAGGCAATTCAATATGAAACTATACATACAACAATAGGAGGGCTGGCTGTAGACACTGAGAGCCCTAGAAAGGAGATGGGAGCAAAGGCAGTGATGCTGTAGTCTGATAGTTCCCGAACTTGAACTCTGAACTTCCTAGTGACTGGAATAAAGGAGAGATGGACTGATAGGCCACATAACTCCCCAAGCAGGATAGAAAGGATCATCTTAATTATTAAATCGGGCCATATTCTCTCCTATTCTGAATGCTAAAATGACCTTGGGGGGCTGAATCATACACAGCTGCTTGGAATGACAGAGCAGACAGGGGACTGGGCCTTAAAAGAGTGTGAAGGTTTGGTGTGAATCCAAGCCCAGTTCCCCAAGCATATGGTGGGCCAGGTGCACCCAGAAAGCTCGGTGGCTACAAGGGCCCTGGAGATGGGTCCTGGAGTCAAGCCACTTGGGTGTCTGAATTAGACTTCTTGGGTGGAGGAGGGCCAGGGACACCAGCGCCTGCTTTATTAGTGTTGTTCTAAGGAAGGATGGATAATGTAGTATACGTCTCCTGTGGTATGAGTGTCTAGAGCAGGGTGGGTTTGGTGGCTTGGAGAACGGCTGTGTCAGAAATTACCTGGGGGTACAGCATTCACTCCCTGGGGAATCTCAATCCCCACCCCATACCATATGTTCATGGAACAAACATGCATGTGGACTCCCTGAATCTAAAATAAAAAGAAAGAGCCAGAAGCATTTTTTATTTGTTTTTCTAGAGATGAAGGAAGCCAGAGACAGGGTAATTCGGTGATAAACTTCACATGGTGGAACCAGAGAGGGTGTTTAAACAAGACACAGTACTGGGAGGTTCAAGAAAGAGGAGCCACAAGATGACAGTTCCGGAGACATGCTGAGCCAGGCAGATGAGCTTCTTGCACTGAGATATAAATTTAAACAGTGAGGACTCCGGGGGCTCCCTGACTGTGCTGTGTCAGGGTTATTGAATTTGGTACATGGCTCACTCTGGAAGGCCTGGGGCTATGAGTAGGAAATGCTGGTTGCTCCAGGGTGTGGCTAGGTGAGCTCCTGACCTTGAAGCAGAGCATTTCTCCAACCTGTCTCTTCCTATCTCCCAGCCTACCCAGCACATCCATCCGCATGCAAATTTAAATAAAGTCCCGAGCAGGTAGGGAAGGAATGAGGGTGGAAACTGCATTTAGGATGCATCTGTCAGGAGCCTTGAAGGATCTGACAGCATGGAGAAGTGTCCTTTAGGGAACTTTGCCCGTGGCTCAGAGTTGAGACTGTAGGTGGGGTCGGAGACGTGTTGGGGAACCCCAGACTGAGGTGCACAGAGAGGAGGAAAGGTGATGGGTGGAGGTGGTTGTCATGGCACCCTAGAGTCAGTAGAGTGGCCTTTTGTCTCCTTCTGCCTAGGGGCTTCCTGGGTGACTCTGGATGGATCATTTTACTCCTTGGATTCTTCATTGATCAGACAAAGATGCTTAACCAGTTCATCTCTAGGGACCCTCCCAGGTCCTCCAGGCCTGTGGTTCTGATTCTGTCGAAGCGGTTTTCCAGTCGACCTTTATCCCTTTGCTCCTGCCTCTCCACTTGAGACTATA